TATATATATATATATATATTGAAAACTAAAGATAAATTAATTTCTCTCTATTTCAGTTATGGGCAAAAAAATGGGAGACAATTATATGTTTAGTATGCAAATCAAATTTGGCTATATATGAAATGCCAGACCATTTGCCAGTACTACTAATTATGAGATATAATTGTTTGTTATTGGTGTAACATTATTTCTATATAAATATAATGTGTGTGCGTGCATACATAACAGTGATGGAAAGGTGGAAATGAAAACTAATAGAGGCATTAAAATTGTAAATTACCAGATATAAAAATGGTTTGTAACAAGAGAAAAAGAAATGAAGGTGAAGTTTGTATTAGAATGACTAAAATAATAGTGTTTATTTATTCTGAAAATCTTGAAAATAAGACATCTCTGAACTAAAAGTATTTGTAGTAATATCACCTTGTTTTGTTTTTATTAGACACAGCATTGTCAACTAATATAAAGAAGCAAGGTAATCTAAAGTCTAGCATAACACAGTGAACAAACTTTTGCAAAAACAAAGACCTAGCTAAGAAAGTTGTTTCACTATGATGTGCTAAACAATTTTTCTCTATCATGCACCTTTATAAATCTACCATTTGTCCATGCATTGAATATTGCTGTCAAATCTGGTCTGGTGTTTCTGAAATGTATTTGGAGATTCTTAACAGAATCTACAATGTCTTCAATCCTGTTCTGCCATTTTAGGTTCAGTCAATTTCCCACTACCATAATGTAACCTCCCAGTTTCTTTGTGTCTTTTCTGTAAATATTTTCATGGTAATTGTTCTGATGAATTTCTGCTCTTTGGTACCTTGACTTCATGCATTTAAAATCAGTAGTAGACTGGCAACTTGGTCGAATCATTTAATTTTCAAATTACTAGATGTAATTGTATGTTCTATGCTTATAGTTTCTTCTCTCATCCTTCTCAATTGTGGAACTCTATTCCAGCTTCTTGCTTTTCTGTCAACTATGATCTTCAAATATTTAAATCAGTTTTCATTTTCCATCTCCTTGAATCCTGGTCTTTTAATGTCCTCTCTTTTCACTAATATTTTTTCAGTTTCTTTCACCATCAGGAACCCCTTGTGTGTCTGTGGCTTTATTGCCTTGCTTGGGGTGAGCTGATTTAAATTTTATTAACTAGTCTTTCTTTCATCATAATTTAACTTGCTTTTTTATTATAATTACTTGGACATCATTTTAGAGCTAGCATAGCTAATTGTTAAAAGACATGTATGTTAGCAATATTATCTTGAATTTTTTTAATATAAAATGTATGTGATTCACACCAAGAAATACAAGAGGGTTTGAATTGAATTTGATGTCAACAAAGAAACTTTGTTCTAAAAGAAGTTGATTTTTGGTGACCCAAACATGGACTCATCCTAAGAAATACCAAAGTCGACGTTGCACAAAGCCACAGACCCTCACACTGATATTAAGTGACAAAGTCCAAAGATGAATTAAGAATAATTTTATGTATGAGATATTTAGTTTTATGTTCTTATTAGTCTTTACAATGAAGATGCTAGAAAGTCTTTATTAGCAATTATATTTAACTTGTATTCTTTTCATCTTGCTTTTTTATCATAATTACTCAGCCATCATTCTCTTCTAACAGAACTAATAATTGGCATATATGTGAGCACTGTAATAATATCTAGATTTTTTTATTAGATAAATCTTTGTCAAATATCATTAGGTTTTACTTTTAACTAGTATTTCTTTCATCTTAGTTTCTCTTGGTTTTCATCTAATTACTCAGACATTGTTCTACAGCTATTATAAAGGTTTCCAAAGTGAAACAGATACAAAGATAAAATCTCACAGCTTATTGCTTATTTCTAATCCTTGATGACCTTAGATATTAGAGTTGTGGTGAGTCCTGATAAAAATAAAATATAAAATCATATATATAAACAAAAATAAAAAAAATTCAAATTCAAATAAGGCATTTGCACTTTCCTTTAAAACCCTTCTCTCTCTCTCTCTCTCTCGCTCTCTCTCTCTCTTTCTCTCTAAACTTCTCTCAACTAACACGAAGGCAACCCTCAAATAAAAAGAGGAAGAAGATGAAAAGACTGAACACAACCAAAAACACTGGATTTTTGCAGGTAAAATACTGAAAATCAAGAAGGCTCCACACATAAATTCTGTTTAAAAAAAAATGAAAAAGAAAGGAACGCCAGAAAATAAAACAATTTGGCCACTAAAAAGAAGAGAATTTTTTTTATTCTAAGGACTGAGGAGACCAGAATGACTGGATCTAAAGAAAGAAGACATGCATGATACAGGAAAATGCAGTCAAGAGATCATCTGCTACTACATTTCCATTCTCTTCTGGGCCAAGAGAAAATACAGCAGATTGGCATCTGACCCAATTTCTAACATTACTACTACCCCTATCATGGCCTGACTTTCAACTACCAAAACGGACATTTTTTCAGACATCTATCAATATCTGCTTTGTTAATGAACTTTCTTCTATGCCAAATGCTAAAGGACTCACTCATCACTCTAAAGAAAATAAATGAAAATATATTATTTATTTTAAACTCTTGATTCAGTTTGTTTTATTCCCAAAGTTTCCAGTAAAATAATTATCCTACTACCTATCCACAGTAGCAATGTTTCAGAAATGAAACCATATGCCACAGTAAATTGTGATAAAAAAATCAACTGAAATAAGAAGAAAGTCAAAAATTTATAAGCTACTGTAAAAATTTGCAGTTTGTTATAAACTATTTATTCATGAACTTCAATTGTTATAGAAGTGAAAAAGGTAAATTATCCTTGTGATATCAAAAGAAAATTCTAGAACATGATATTCAGGTTAAGGAAAAAAAAGGCATTAAATTAGCAACTTTTTCCCTATCAGGATGTAGGCAGTGATAGCTCTTCACAGTTTCCCTAAGCAATGTTTGTCACCTTCTATTCTTCCTACTCTCTGTTCTGTCATCCATTTGCACAAGCTCTTTAGATAGATTATTCAACATTTCCTCTTGCTCTTCTAGTTGCTAGTTCATACATATTTAAGTTAGCAACAAAACATGTTTAAACTGTTGCTGCCTAAAAGAAAATTCTGAACCATATTGAAGAAATTTAATTTGGTTTAATCTAGGTTTTATTATGATTCATTATTTTAAATAAAACATACCACATATACAGAAAAAATTACTTAGTGCAACCATTCACTGAAAATGCATGATTTATACCTTCTTCAAAAAAATTACCTGTGTATATTGTGACTCCCTATTTTTGATATAAAAAACTGATCATTAAAACTCACATGATACACAAGTATATATGGTAATTTTATCTTTGTGTTGTTTTTTTTTCCTGTTTAATTGAATTTTCTGTAGAAATTGTCTTCATTTTAATGTGGTTCATTTCTTAACTGAACACTGAACAATAAAATAGAAAATGTCATCACACATTTATTTCCTTCTAATCTTCTTGACCATTTTCACTTGATACTGTCTTTTTCACATCAACAGAAGAAATTCAAACATTTAAATTTAAATCTAATTAAAACAATGGCAGGATTTATATAAAATTGCAGCTCAATAAAATACTTCTAATTAGATCTTCAATTAATAAACAAAAATTTCTATACTTCTTTATTTTGTATAATCATGGTTTTCTGTTTTTTTTTTTTAATTCTGCCTTGTCATAGAATAGATTTAAGTAGATTCTGAATCTAAATGATGCAATGTGAGGAAAAGACAGAAAGTTTTAATTACAAATGAATGATGTCTTTTGTTGAATGAAATCCCAATTAAAGTTGGAAAAAATGCCTTTGAAAATATTATAGAAGCCAGTCCTGATGGTGATAATATCACATGATGAAAGCTTCTTTTTTAAAGGCCATGAACTTTAGCAGTAATGAGACATCTGGTTAGAATTTCAATATATTCTAAAGCATATAATGGTTTGAAAGAATATTTTTATAAATATAGCTTTATACAAATGACTTGGCTTACCATCCCAGGAATTGTAAAGTTGGATAAGTGAATAGGAGAATTAAAACCATTTCATTGTGCATTGTCTTATAGGGAATTACATTCAACAGTTTAATAAAATGTTTGAAGAGTTTTGTTAGTTGATGAAGACTTTGAAAAGATTTGATTCTTATAATTCTTCAAGATTAAAAGAAAAAAAATTGAACAAATTAATTTCTTCTAGGCCTTTTGGAATATCTAAATTTAAGTATTTAAAAATACAGAAAGTTAATTAACAACTATTTAAATTAAATGCAATTAAGAATTATGCATTAAATCCTAGTTGGAAGAAAGTTAAATTCATAAGAAAGAAATAATGTAACATATAACATTTAAAGCTATTAGAAAAATTATAGGAACACGTAAGAAAAATTGCATCCTATTTTTATGTTAGTGACAAAGCATAGATTTATCTGTGATTTCATGCTTTGCTTTTCATCTAAGCATAAATTGATTTTGCTGAATTAGACAAGAGTTAGAAGAAGAGTAGATACGAGCAATGAACAAACCTCACATCAGACTAAGATAGAATCAAGACAAATTTCACTCTTTGATTCTTTCAATATTTTTATAAATTTAATTTTTAAAGATAAGAGAGATTATTCTGACATAAGATACAAAAGTTACAGGTAAAGAATGAATCATAGTACTATGATATTCTATATTGAGCATTGGCAAAAATTACAATTTGCCAATACTGAAGCATATGGGAATAGATTGATTGTTTTGTTTTTATAGCTTATCAACCTTTTGAAGGTTATTTAAAACCAGAGAATAATTTTTGGATTGTAAAAGATTTTTTTGAGAAAATAATGTTGCTGATACAAATTCTACTATTTAACTGGGGTGTGGGGGGGGGAGAGGTGGAGTCATACCTTTCCAAATGCTATTTGATCATGAGTGAATATAACAAACCTGAGTGAAATTGGAAATTGGCTTTCTAACTTTCTATTTCAAACTACTATCCATTAAGCCACTAAAATATCCAAGCTTACAATTCCTAGTATTCCCAAGTGGTCACCTATCTAGTTAGTGACCAGGATTGACATCGCTTAACTTTGGTGATCTGATGAGAATTGGTGTTTCAACTTGATATGGCTGTTAGCCCATAGGAAAATAAAAAAAATATCTGCAATCATTGATTTCACTAGGATGTGTGCAATATAAATTAGTTAAACCACTGTTTTGTGGAACTGACTCTCAAGAGGATGCTTCGCCAATTACTACAATCTTAACCTCTTCAAGTCTAGGATTAACCATTATCTTCCCTATATATCCACATAAACCGTACATCTTCCTCTGTAACCCTCTACTTCAAGTGGCTCTCGGGCCTTGTACAAGATGACCAACATTTTAAAAAAACAAAAAAAAGTAAATTATTTCATTGTTTACATTACTATAGAAATGTAACTTCTATAAAATATCAAATGATAACACAAATTTTCAACCTCCTGTAAGTTTTACATCTCCAGTGCAGATTAACACTAACTTTTATTAATAGACAAATAGGTGTACATTCTGTATATACTGTAAAATGTGTTAGTATGATATGAAAGATAGAATGAAAACACAACTTGATATCAATCTTTAGAGTGATTTTAGTTATTCAACTTGATATTGATTATTCCACTCATCAAAGGAAGATTTGTTCTGAAAACTCTACAATTTATTTCCCACACCTACCAGATTAAAAAAAGTCAAATCATGTTTTGTTGAATGTGCTAAGTCTTGAATTAAATTAACTATCAATTATTTAATTAGTCACATAGAACAAAATATTCAGTCCTTTGATGTACTGCTCTCTCATAGCAAAAACAAAAAGTTCCATTATGAAAATTGTAGTTTATTTACACAAAAAAAAAACTCTCTGCTAACTTCATTTATGAAGTTCAATATCAGCTGAAACAACAATGTCTTGTATAACACTTACCTAATTTAGTCAACAAGTTACTAGCTGAAGGTCTAATATTTCAGCTGCTGAGTAAATTATTACAGTTTTCTTCATAAGTTGTACCTGACTATTACTAAGTCATACCTGTCTATTACTGAGTCATACCTGACTATTACTAAGTTTTACCTGACGTACTTTAATGACTTTCCTACATTTTATCCAGAAAATAGGAATTAAATTAAAGGAAAAATCCTAAAGAAATACTGATTAAAATCACGTTGAATGGAACTATGTTTTTCATTTGCTAGGCTAGGAGGATCTCCTCACTAGGCCTAGCATAGAAATAAATACATTATGGGAACTGCTAATAAAGACAAATGACAGCAATTCTTTAGCAGCATGACAGGCAGCAGCAACAATAATTAAGAGACAGGTTAGGTTTAAGGCTCCAAGTTCATTACAGAGAATTGTCTAACAGGACAATAGCCTAATGGATTAAAGTATTCAGGAATTCAGGATTAAAAGTTTGTGAATTTGGTGACATAGTAATTGTGAATTTAGTCTTGGGCCAGGCATACTTGAACTCAGTGAAAATGGGCAAGTAATAACTGAACAGTACTAAGAATAAGAACTAGACAAGTCTATCCCTATAGATTAAATAAAAGGCGTTCAGAAATGTAGATTCAGAAATGTAGGTTACTCACATTTGATAGAGGCTGGAGGGCACAACGACCAAAACCTTGCGATAGCAACAACAAAGATGAGGAAAATAGGCTGAATCTAAATAGTGTAAATAATAACTCCTCATCTCAGAAATTCAAAGATTTACATTTAATTTAGGATCTTTCTTCCCAAAATTTTATCATTTATAAAAGAACAAACAAAACAACCAGTTTAAAATGAATCAAGAATGTGACAGACAAGAGCAGAAATAAGGAAAATAAATAAAGAATGGTGATGAACATTTAATAAAATCACTGGAAAACTAAATAACTGGGAGCAAGAAGCATAGTAAAGATAATGGCATACATAGGATATTTATTCTTTACTAGATTTGTCGCACTTAAATTTAATTAACTTTGAAATAAAACAATTTTCATCTTCCTTACATGTTATATCACCAAGTATTCATGTCTTCCATTTACATATTACTCAATATTACAAACTTGGGAAAACTTGAAAAGAAACTAAAGTAAAAAAAAATATTGTTTTAGTTTATTTTTATATTCATGTAAAACTTTTTAACCAAATTAAGCAAAACATCTAAATTTAATTCTACCTTTAATGGTTTCTACTGATTCAATTCAAAGAGAAAGACAAAATATCAAAGAGTCTGTATTCTTGTTCATTAAATCTAAGAAAATTACCATTTGTGTTCTGTTAAGTTTAAGCAAAGTAACCTACTGAAAAGATAGCTTTTGGTTATGCATTAAGTTCTGTCATTTGTTTTTGTTAAACTTTTTCTTTTATAATAACATGTCCCTTCAGGATGGAAGCATGTATGACACTCTACATATTTTTTTTATAATCTGTGAATTTTCATGCATCCTTGGGGAAGTTCATGGAGTTGTTTCCTGTTGACTTCTCCATAGTTTGGAAATGAGTTTTTCTTACCACACAAGATTAAAGTGTTCAGTTTCTCCTGCTATTTAATTCCTATCTGGTCAGAATGAGATATAGAGTCATGCTTTTTTAAGAGCATTTGTGTGAAGCTATTTACTCCTGTCTTAATAGTAGGTTTGCCAAAAAAAAAAACTGGCAACTGCTCTCTCTCTCTCTCTCTCTCTCTCTCGAAAATGACCTGCAATCAGTTGCTAACTGGGGCAAGAAATGACTTGTAAGTCTGAATGCCTTCAAAATGAAACTCCTATCCTTTAATCATAATGGAGAACCACTTTTTGCCCTCCTTCAACATGGCTGATGCTAATCTCACTGCACTTTCTTGGTCTCATATGACATGAAGTGAAGGGATCTTATTGAATCAATTACTAGGTCTGCTGCTAAGAAAGTTGGTCCACTTTTTGTGCCAGACAGTTTTTTCTCATCAGAATCCATCTTGTATATTTATAAATCTATGATTCTTCTACACTTTGAATATTGCTACCATATCTGATCTGCTGCTCTGGAGATTCTCAACAAGATCGAAAGAAGGAATTGTAACATAGCTTTCCAGTGTCTTTTCTATAAATATTTCCATGGCAATTGTTCAAATGAGCTCTCCTCCTTGGTACCCTGAATGCATGAATTTAAGAGTACTACTAGATTGGCTACAAGGTTTCATCATTCTAATAGTTTCTTTTCTTGAACTTCTTACCTCAGGAGCTTTCCTACTTCTCTGTCACCTACGATCTTCAAAATTTAAATGCAACATCAATCGCCATCTTCTGTCTTTCAGAATCCTGTTCTTTTATTTTTCTTTCTTCACACTAAAGCCTTCTCCTCTTCCACTCCCAGTAACTCCTTGCATCTTAGTGGAACTAATACTTTGTTTGGGGTGAAATGAAAGAAAAAAAAAATAAGTGCAACAGATGTGCCCAGAATTTGAACTTATCTCTCTAATTTTACTTTCTGCACCAATATTCATTGCACTATCCTCACATCCATCAGTTACACTACTTTTTATCTAAACTGGCTTTATTTTATCTTTTGCTTTCTCAATCAATCAAAAGGTTCGATCAGCTTTTACTTTCACTTTCACTTTCACTTTTCTGCCCTGACCTGAAATGACTTACTTTCATTTGTAATTATCATTGATATTGGATAATGTTGCAAGTTCCTGAGCTTAATTAATTAAATAAAATTCTGCCTCATCATTTTGTGCTCATGAAGGTAAAATAATATAAGTAGTAAAAGCAGTATAATTGTTTTGTCTTTTAAATATCATCCCTGTATATTCAGTTTCGTACATTATTCAATGCCCATAAAATAACCATTTACAAGTAAATATCTCTGCAAAAAAAAAGATAATTATCATAAAAATTAATTAGGTGGCAAATAGAGGTTAACTGGAATTACAAAATTGGCATAAATATTTAAGTCACTTCAATGTACTTCTGAGAATTCATTACCATAAACCTAAAATGAAGTGACATTCTAAATAAATATTTAAAACAATTTACCATGTGCAATTCACAAGTGATCAAATGAAACTGGGTCATTCAAGGTTTTAGTAATTTAGGTATATGGAGTGATTAACCATGGCCAAATGCAAAATAAATAACAGAACTGTCCAATGAACAGAATTGACAAAGTTTGCAATAACAAGAAAAAGAAAAGAACAGGGCAAAAAATAATATAAAGCAAGCAAACAATATATGCAAGGCAAATTAACAGTAATAAAGCAAAGCAATAATAATATGGCAAAACTAAGAATTGATATTGACACACAAAAGACAAGCAAACATAGCATTCTGACTTCAAGACAAGACAGACTGGGACTGAGTTAGATGAAACCAGAAACTGACCTATTTTATTGTCTAGGAAAAAAGCCCAGCATGCATTTCAGATCATCTGCCTATAAAAAGGGGAGGGGAAAGTATTTTGCAGTCATTCCCACCAAGATTAGAATCAACAAAGTATTTAAGTAGAAATTGTTTCTTTTGGGTAATTAGCATATAAAATAATAAATTATCTTTTGTGAAATATCTTATAGCCAGGTTTGCAAATGAAGTTGCATAAATTACAAATTCTGAATATAGCCCTAAGAATATATTTCTCTTTGATATTTGCTGAATTTCATTGTCTATATGACTTCTTAAAATTGTGGAATTTTAAAAGAACAAATTAGAAAAACAAAATACATTTAACTTATGAAGAGACTGAGTTCAGTGTGATGTTATTGCTATTGACAAACTTAGAAAGAATATTGACTTTAAAGGTTCCTATTTTTATCTTTTATTATTCTAAACTTGTGTAAGCAATGATTTCATAAAAATTAGCATAACATAGGAATATTCTAAATAATGAAGTGATTAGAAAATACTCAAGAAAAATTTACATGAGAATATCTTAAGTCATTTTAATAATGAAAAAGATTTAATAAGCTGACAATATTTAATTTTCTGTTACAGAATTAAAACATCATCTTTTTAGATAACCTTCTATCCAAAGGTACATTTAAAGACCAAAATTGACTTTCCAAAATCTTAAATTATTAAGAAACAGGACAAATTACAAAAAAAATCCTGAAAGGCTTTGTAATCTCAATTTT